AAATGTTTTATTTGAAAGCCGTTGGAGGCTTTTGAGATCAACTAACTGATGCAGATTTAAAAAAAAAAAAATTTGCCACCTTGAACGTCGGGTCGAGTAAAGTTGATGCAGCTAGCAAAAAGATTGTTCAATGGATGAATTTCAGACAACTACAGAATTCATATTTCTAGAAAATATTTCTGCGATTATTTTACAATTGATCGATTAATAATCGAGTATTGAAACACAAAACTGCGATAAAATTAAATCTTAAATTTTCTACAAAATAATCGATTAATTTAATTCAATGATTAACCTCTGCCATCCCTAGTGGAGAGTTTCCGACAGAGGAAACCTAAACCAACCCAGTGCTCGAATCGTAACATCCGTTCACGGATCGAAAACTATACGAAAGAAAATTACGTGATACGTCAGGCAGTATAAGCTGAATGGGACAAAGAGTACGTTCACGTATGTCATATTCCGAAAAATGTGTTTTTACGTGACGAGTAGTACGATATCGTATGTGACGATTCGAGCCCTGTCTCCAAGTTTTGATCCGTCTGTGAAGAAGTTTGTCGCTCCTTCCTCGAGTAACCCCGCCCTACCCTCTTGGGATGATATAAGTAGAGAAGAAGCTTCTGGGATCCATTTCAGAGGCGCTGTAATCTATGTATTCAGGATAAAGTCAAAGCCCTCCAGAACTCCAGAGTGCTACCACCCGGTTTCCCTGAGCAGAATAACAGTTCGTAGGTGTGGTTCCTATGCTCCACTATTTCCAATAAGGGCGATCCACAGTAAACACTCCAGTCGGTTTACACGTGTAGTCTTCTCTAGTGAGTTCCACCAGACAAGGGCTCTGTGAAACAAGATAGGCTTAAATCTGGTTATCTTATCTTATGTTATCTTTATTTATTCATTGCTTAAAGCAATTTTCATCAAAATTTCGATTTTCTTAATTAGATTTCCTAGAACGATTTCGAGTATGCAGTTTTATAGCCCATTCAATTTTAGTAAAAAGTGCAAGTTTCAAGTCGTTAGAAATTTCCGATGATTTTGAGATTTATTTTGTGGGGGTGTTGCGCATTTTCTTCCATATAAAAATTAAATTTGTTCATATGAAAGAAAATGCGCAACACCCTCCACAAACAAACAAAAAAATCTAAAAAATTTACCGTTGATTTTAGCGGTTTGAAACTTGCGTTTTACTATACTAAAATTAAACGTGCTATAAAACTGCAAAATCTAAACCTTTCTAATTAAAAAAATCGAAATTTGGATGATTTTTTTTTTTAAGTTTGATTATTTTTTTGAACTTTGTGAAAGCTTTGCAATTTTTATTTATGTGGTATCTCCTTTATTATCAGTTCAGACAAAAAGGTATTTTTGTAATTTTTAGTGGGACGAGGTCTGCATAGCACTCACGAAAAACGTGAAATTATTAAAACCGTTCTTAAAAATAGGAAAACATATAAAGTGGAAAAAAATCGGTGAATGTTCAGCTACCATAATTCGAAATGCGTTAAGGTATCAAAATAACCGTGAAAAAAATTGGTGGTAAGCAGAAATTATCAACGACTACCATGCGAAAAATTATTAAATATTCGAAGACTCGTCCTACAATGTCGGCTGTAGAAATTTTGGATAACCTTAAGTTGCCATGTAGTGTTCATACAGTAAAGAGGCGTCTCAGATAACACAAACTTTATGCAGAAGTCCATGTGTGGTCCAGTAAAATCGTGTGGTACGTAGACTAGGTTTTGCCAAAAAAGACCTGGATTGGCCTATTCGAAATGGGGGAACATTTTGTGGGCGGATGAGTCAAAAATTGTTTTATACGCTGGTAAAAGCTCTCGTCAGTTCGTAAGACGGCCCCCAAATATTGAATATCATGCAATCTGGACTTCGTCCGTCAGTTCATATAGATGCCTCCTGACGTGTCTAGGCGAGGGCTCCTCTGCAAGCAGCTGCCTGTTTGGGTGGCCGCATCTGTGGCTCCCAACCAGAAACTGCTTGCAGAGCATAATGTTATGCTCCCTAATTGGGAGCATTTTCGCCTCGTCATGGAGGTGGTGTTCGGGTGACATCAGGAGGCATCCGGTCGCTGTCCTGAGTGCGGTGTACTGTGCTGTCTGTAGCTCCATCCACTGCGTCCTACTAGTCCCCGGCGACCACACTGGTGCTGCGTAGTTTAAAACCGACCGGCCTATTGCCTTGTATGTTGCCAGCAACATTTCTTTGTCTTTGCCCCAGGTACTGCCGGCTAGCGACTTGAGGACTTTGTTGCGGCTCTGTACTTTGTTGACAATAGCAGTTGCATGCGCAGAGAAGGAGAGCAGGCTGTCGAATGTTACTCCGAGTGTATCATCGACGTGAATTCCCAGCGGTAGCCTGACCTCCTTCGCCCAGGTGGTGAACAAGGTCGCAGAGGATTTCGTAGGGGAGAGGGCTAGACACTTTGCAATGAAGCAGCGAGAAAGATCGGAGAGATACCCGTTTACTTTCGAACACAGGTCAATAATCCCATTCCCAGTCGCCATGATCGGGCAATCGTCGGCGTAGGAGACAATCGAGACTCCCTCTGGTGGTTGAGGGAGCTTTGAAATATAAAAGTTAAACAGTAGCGGGGATAGGACACCACCCTGTCGAACCCCCTGTTTGATTTTCCTAAGTTTGCTAAATTTGTCTCTAAGCATTACCGACGAGTGTCGACCACTCAGATAATTTGCCGACCACCGTTTGAGCCTCTGTGGGAGAGAGGAAGCCTCTATGTCTTCTAGTAGCGTGGAATGGCTGACAGTGTCAAAAGCCTTTGACAGGTCCAACGCTACTAGAATCGTTCTCTCATAGGGACGGTTACGGTTAAGGCCACGAGTTATCTGAGTGTTTATGGCGTTAAGTGCTGTTGTTGCACTTTAAGGAAACCATGCTGATGCTTCGCTGGGGTCAGGTGGTTCGTGAAATACGGGAGCAGCAGGGCCTCAAGTGTCTTCGCTACCGGGGAAAGGAGCGTTATCGTTTGATACGAATCTCCTTTGTTGGCAGGTTTCCCCGGTTTGAGCAGTGGGACCACTTCCAGATGTCTGGGATGATGAGAGTGGCCATACACAAATTGAGGTCCTCCGTTAGGTACGCTACTCCCGCAGGACCCAAATTTTTCAGCATCAGCATGCATGTTCCGTCGGGACCCATGGATTTGGAGGCTTTCGCCTTCCCGATGGCCACCTGAACTTCACCGCATGGGGATGTTTTTCATGTCATGGTGTGGTGTGTGAAAAATTGTGGTTTCGGAACAACGGAATTGAGGTAATGCGTGCGGCCAGCTCAATCTCCTGACCTCAATCCTATGCAAATCATTTGGACCGACCTTAAGAAAGCCTTATGGTTATGGGATGCAAAACCAAAAAAAAAAACTCAATACCACAGGAAATATGTCAACGCGTCGTATACTATGAGAAATAGTTGTGCAGCAGTGATTAAAAACAACGGTCATGCTACCACATACTAAAAAACTGTTAATGTCATAACAATTTAATACAAATTTAAGACTTATTACATACTGCATACAATTTTGCTGCTCGCAGTAATTTCCATAAAAACACATTTTACGTAAATAAATTTTTTAGTGTTTATGTAAATAAAACTCTTTTGGCCCTACATTTAGTTATGAAATTGCCCTTCAGTTTTTCAATAAAATGAATGAAACTATTATTTTGGGTTTTTTAGTAACCGCTAGTCAACTTTTGATAACAAATTTGAATTCCTCGGTTGAAAATCTACAAGAAAAGTCCATAAAACCAAACACCAAAATTTTTTGCTGAGACCAAGAGAGCAAAGTATTAATTTTTTTCGAAAATTAATTTTTCAACGAAACTTTTCATGAGTTATAATGACAATACATTTCCCTTGTAGGCGGTTATGCCAGCTTTCGAATCAATTATGGTATTCACAACGGTGTTGTAAGTGTCGTATTGTTGTATGTCGTTAACTTTAAACTACTATCAAAGTCATATGAATTTTCGCAGTGTTAAAAAATGGTTGGTTATGGTTTTAAGTTCTCTAAACATTTATTTAAGCTTTTAAAGTTTACGACATACAACAATACGACACTTACGACACCGTTGTGAATCCCCAAAATATGTTTCCATATTTTTGCCTTATTTCCATCGAGAGATTTACGATTTAGTCCATCAACACTCCCAACACGTACACTGTGCGACGATGGCGTATGCTAAGTAAATCAAAACAAAGAAGAATAGGAGAATAAAAGAGTTCTCAATACCATGAAGTCTTTAACATTTAACTTTTCGAACGTCGTTAAATTTTGTTTAATTGTAAAAATATATGATTTTTAGGAAGAATAAATAAAGAAAATGTTAGAAAAATAGTGGACTTAGAAAAAATTGCGAATTTCAGTGCTAATTTTGTTACATGCTTTTTACTTTTACTTGAAAATTGTCAAAATCGGCAAAACCAAAGTAGCGGTCCGCTGTATGCGCACCCTTTGTTCTCCACTTCGTGCAAAACTATAGTATAGTATACCGCGTTAAGCGACAACGTATCGGTGCCGCAACCTAAAATCCCGCTTTATGAAGCAAGCCTAAAGAGTGAGGTTAAGTTACCTACATTGTGATTGATGAACGTTTGACTTTTTCATTAAGTGGAGTTTTGTGAATACATATCCGATTCCGTTTCGGTATAATAAAAAAGTGCGAGATAAATTGTTTTGAAATGTCTGGAGATAAGAAAAAATTTCCCGGATTAGCAACACATGCAAAGCCAAATTCTGGCATGAGAAACGCAAAAGCGTCGGTGCAAAGTAAAAGTAGAAATAGAAATGAAACTAAGCTTGCGTTTGATACCCCACTGAATTATGTTCGTTTTCCGTTTTTTATACTTATCTACTATTTAATGTATTTATGGTGTTATAATACATTTGTATTTGTGTATTTGTTTATGAAACATATCTGTTGATTACAATATATTTTATGCAAAATTTTTGATTTTCTCTTGTCTTATAGGAATGTGAGGAAATGGTAAATTTGCTACGGGTAGTAGAGCTTCAGCAGATACTATCTTTTTTGAATATTTCCTTTGCTGGACGTAAAAGCGATTTGCAACGACGTGTCATAAATCTTCTTCATACAAACTACGATTTATTATCACATAAAATACGTGAAGTTTACACAAATTCGCTGTAAGTTCACTTAAAGTTTTTCCTTCATTGCGTAATTTATATAATTATTTTTTATATGATAACTTACAGAACAGAACAACAGGCTCAACAATACGGGCCAACAGATCCGAAAAGAATGTATTCACACATGCAAATGCCGCCGGTGCAACCGAATCCTGCAGCTGGTCTGCAAAATACCGGTCAGCCTACCGCTGTCGGTGCACAACCCATTGCAGGAGTACCGCCGTCAGGGCCTGGTGTTGCAAATAATATGGTACCATTTATGAATCCCATTCCTACTCATATACCCATACATCCCGATGTACGTTTAAAGAAGCTTGCTTTTTACGATGTGCTGGGTGTGCTGATTAAGCCGTCATCGCTTGTGCCGCGCAATACACAGCGTATACAAGAGGTGCCCTTCTACTTTACATTGACACCACAGCAAGCCACAGAAATTGCATCAAATCGTGACATACGGAA